TCGAGCCCCGCGTCGGGCTCTGTGCTGACTGCCAGCTCAGGGCCTGGAGCCTGTTTCAGTCTGTGACTCCCTCTCTCTCTGACCCTCCCCTGCTCACGCTGTCTCTCTCTCTCTCCTAGAAATAAATAAAACATTAAAAAAAAAAGAAAAGAAAGTGTGCCTGGAGAAGGAATTTCACCTGGGGTGGCCGGAGCAAAGTATTGAGTGACCAAGGTGGTAGTTGAGCACTTTCTGTTCTGTTTATCCTTTCTTCTTTTTTTCCTTTTTCTTGGAACCTGTCCTTTTGAGTTTAAAGATTTCTTAAAGATTATTTAGAAGTATTGGATAGTGTGTGGTCCCCGGAGGAGAAAATTGCGTTCTGCATTTCCCCCCTTACTGTTTAAATTCTTCCAACATTGCATTCCGAGTAGAGCTGACCACGCCCACGGCTGGGCTGTGACCCTCCCCAGCCCCCACAGCCTGCACCTTTATGCTATCAGCTTAATGCTTGGGAAAGTTTATTGGCTCGCTCTGTTTTTTCCTGCTTGTGTGTCTCTAGGCGCTCGATGGCTGGACCTTCAAGCACGGGGGTCAGTGTTGGTGTTTACTCCCAGTTCCTGGCAGAGAGCTCGCTCATAGTAAGTGTTCAGTGAGTGGGCAAACTGCTTAGGTCTGTGAAGAGAAAAATGAACAGGATGCGACTGCTTGTCTTCAGGAGCTTACCATCTAACAGGAGAGAGGCTACACGCACACAGACCATTTAAATGTAAGGCACACAGGCATAACTGCAGTTAGAAAAATAAAGTTCTGCAGAAGTTCACAGCTGAGGCAGACTATTCCTGGTGGGGGTGGGTATTGCAGTACAGGTAGATTTTAATATTCCATAGTTTTCTTTTTCTTTACAATGTTAATTGACATATATTTCACATAGCATAAAGTTCACCTGCTTTAGTTGCTTTGATAGGTTCATGGAGTTTTGCAGTATCCCTGCAGACAAATGTTAGAACATTTGCGTCACTCCAAAATGAAACCCGTCCCTTCCAATTTCCCTTTGTTCCCATCCTCTTGATGCGGGGGGAGGGGGCTGGAGCAAGCCGAGGGCAAAGTACAGGCTAACAGCACTGCCTCCCCACCCCAGGTGGGATCTGTGTGATATTCCCTGACACTCCTGGCTGCCCAAGAACAAAGGAAAAGGGTTTAAGTGCTGCCATGGCGATGGGGGAAACTAAGGCAAATGAGACCTAAATTCCCTTCCTGCCTACAGCCCATTGACGGGTCCTTGCAACCAGCAGTGACCTCCCTCTAGGAGCCCAGCTGCCTCAGTGATGACCCTTTGCTGGGAGAGAAAGGGAATCTTGGCTTAACCTTATCTTGACTCTCCCAGGATCCTGTAAATCTACTTTAACATAAAAATTTCTTTGGATACTTCCTTAATCTCAACTCCTTTGCAAAATATATGCTGACAATCATTGTCCAAGCTTACGGCCCCTGATCTGCATCTGAAGGGGCTCTTGACTGAGGTTTTATTAAACGGTAACAAGTGGCATTTCCCTAACAACAGCTAGACCCTCAAGATCCTCGAAACCTTGCTTCAGAAATACCTTAGAGACTTACTCTATCCTGACCCCCTCCCCGCCTGACGGTATGGAACCAGTTACCCCACAACCCCAGGGCAGCTCTTCCTGCCCATGGGTCCTGTCCCTGTGCTTTACTAAAATCATCTCTTTGCACCAAAGACGTCTTCAAAAATTCTTTCTTGGCTGAGCTCCGAACCCCGAACCCCCCCCCGCAACCCAAAACCCCATCCGTCTGACATCTGTTGGTCCACACTCTGTCTCTGTGGATTTGTCTGTTCTGGATTTTTCGTATCGATGGAGTCGTGTGGTCTTTTGTGTTCCTGGCTTCTTTCACGTGGCCTAAATGTTTCCTAGGCTCATCGGTGTTGTAGGATGTATCAGAACTTCATTCTTTTTATTGCTGCAGAACATTCCATGGTATGGCCATGCCACATCTTGTTTCTCCATTAATCAGTTGATAGGTATTTGGGCTATTACAGAATAATGCTGCTGGAAACAATTATGTACACGTTTTCAGTTTTCTTGGTTTATACCTAGGAATGGACTTTCTGAATCATGTGGAAACTTTATACTGCACAGTTTTTTTAAAATTTTATTTTTTAATGTTCTTATTTATTTCTGAGAGAGAGAGAGAGAGAGAGAGAGAGAGAGAGAGAGACAGCATGAGCAGGGGAGGGTCAGAGACAGAGGGAGATACAGAATCTGAAACAGGCTCCAGGCTCTGAGCTGGCAGTCAGCACAGAGCCCGACGCGGGGCTCGAACCCATGAACCGTGAGATTATGACCTGAGCCGAAGTTGGACGCTTAACCGACTAAGCCACCCAGACGCCCCTATATTTCACAGTTTTTAATACATTTTCATTGAAAGTCAGCTTGGGCCTCAGGACAGCAAAAGCTATCTTTACCGTAAAGTGTATACTTGTGAATTCTGGTTTTAACTACATAGAACTATTTCCCCAAATATCACTAGTGTCATCTAATACTACTTTTCTTTTCCTAAATTTCCTTGAACTGAGTTCTAAGTGTTCTGCCCTTTGTCCTGCTGGATGCTCCTTTTATGCGAGGTGAGGGGTACATGTGGATTTGGTTTTCCTGCCTGGAAAGCCCCTTTGGCACGCTTTGTCTACCTTCATAGAGAAGCACTACGTGAAATGATGTGCAAAGACACTTAGGGCTTGAGTCTCAGAATCAGGAGACCCGAGACCAAGCTGCTCGTGAGCTGTGCGTCCTCAAGCAAGCCACGGGCCTCAACCAGTCCCTCTTCCTGATGCGGATGAGGAGTGGGAACCGTTCGCCCCCCCCAGGGTTGTGAGAAAAGCGAATGGTATGGATGTCAATCGTGCTTTGCAAACACCGAAATGTCGTAGAAAATGCAAACCACCTGTATGCCCAGTTCCTTCTATCACGTACTTTGTTAATTTTTCTTTTGTTAACTAATTCCCATAGAAAGCATTCTCCTGGGAATGGAAGTAAATTTTGGAATCTGTTAACAGCTCAAAGTTGCAGACTCCCTTTTGTAACTCCTATTTTCTTGTTTATTTGGCATTGCCCACTCAAAAGATAAAAACAGGTCCAGTTCCAAACCAAATAGAAAGTTCACTTCAGAGTCCTTAGACAGAGGTAAGAGATTTGCGTGGCTGTTTCGGCTTTTAACTCCCATACAAAAAAAAAACAGAGTTTGTTATAACAGTTTCCATGGCTAGTTTTCCATGCTGGCAGAGAAACGGTTGATTCATTTCTGTGAAAGTTGGAGTAGTATCTACGGTTATCATGATCAGAAGCCAGGAAGATTTAAATACCGAATATATTTGAGGCTTAGCAGTTGCAAGTTTACATAACAGTGGGGGCAACTGGCTGAAGAAAAGAAAGCCCAGAAGATATTGAGAGTAATTTGTGTCATTTAGAGCCTCAAGGCTGTTGGGGAATTTAGCATTGGCCGAAAAATATCACTCCAGTGAAAATGATCAACTTCCTTCTTGAATTTCTTTTACTCAGATTTTTCCTAATATTTTTGAAGCCATAATTAAACTCGAGGTAGCTTTTAAACCTATATTTTATAGCAGAGGATTCTAGAGATAGTTTTTTCCCCCACGTTTTCCTGTACATTTTTGGAAGTTGACTCTGCTTCATTCATTAATCTTGTGGATCTGAGACCACCTTTCTGCACATGACAGTTAAGATGTTTTGCTATCATGTCAGAAATGAGTCCCTCCATGCAGATTTGCAGAAGAGCCATTTTATTGCTAAACAGGGAGTTCTGCACCATCTTATGTAAACACTATTCATGGAAGAAAAAGGTTCCAGTGGTATTAACTGAAGCATTCTGTCCCAAAATGCAAACAACAATAATAAAACATAGCTAAAATTAATTCTAATATAAACTTTTTTTTTTGGACAACTCAGCAATTACAGTAATTGAGGGTATCCATCTTTATGGTTATAAATTAAATGCTAGATTTATACTTCCTGTTTATATTGAAACATTTGTTTAGCACCTACTATAGATGAAGCACCGTGGGGACCAGATCACAGTGGTGGACTTAGGGCTTGACATTGACTAACGTGAACAGTTTGTAGGTCATACTTACGCAATAGCTGAAGAATGATCACTAGTTGATATCTCTAGCAAGTAGCAATGGAATGCTAGGGGTCTCCAGAGGTTAACTAGTCCAGCGACATGTGTTTTAGCTGAACCAATACCTAAACCATCCCACACAGCTGAGCATTTCTGTATCCTGAAGGTGCTTTCCTAGGAACACGAGTCCCCAGCCTTTCACAGATAGTCTAAGGCCGTGCTATCTATCAGGACCTTCTTTGTTTTGAGCTAAAGGCTGTGTTTAATGGAACTGTTCAGCACCGTCACAAGCAAACCACTTTTTATATAAAAATTGACGTAAGAACTAGGAACACCTCATGTATGGTCAGAGGCCAACCTAACCCCATATGTGGGGGGAAAATGTTCCCGCTAAGACGTATGTATTTTTTTTTATTTATTTATTTATTTTATTTATTTTTTAAAAATTTATTTCAGAGAGAGAGAGAGAGAGAGGCAGCATGAGCAGAGGAGGGTCAGAGAGAGAGGGAAACACAGAACCCGAAACAGACTCCAGGCTCTGAGCTGGCTGTCAGCACAGAGCCGGACGCGGGGCTTGAACCCATGAACCGCGAGGTCATGACCTGAGCTGAAGTTGGAAGCGCAACCGACTGAGCCACCCAGGTGCCCCATAGACGTATGTATTTCTAAGCCTTCGGCCTCATTGACATTGAGAGCAGAAGACACGTATCCGCTCTGGTCATTGATGCTGAGAGCCGTTCCTACACCGTAATAGCTTTTAATTAATAGCCACTCATTTTTGCTTTAGGCGTGTTTCCTATGGCTTGCTTCCCTTCTTAATAATTTTTCATAAGAAATGTATATAACTCAAAAACAATAAAAGAAACGCTTATCATTGTTTTCTCTTTTTCTCCCCCAGCTACTTGGACATAGGAGAAATCAAGAAAAGACCTATGGAAGTTGTTAACACAGAGGTAACACACATTATATTTTGAAGGTTCAAGTCCGTAACAGGTGCCATATTTCTGTGTCTTAGAATTTGGATGGCGTTCTAATTATTTATAGACAAAGGTATAAAATTTTCAGGTTTTGCTTATGCTGTAGCTAATAAATGACTGCTAGTTTAGTATCTGTAGCAAGTAATACAAAGTACCTCAGTGAATTGGTTCTGGGGGTAATTTTGTTTGAAGGATCCACAACCATTCAAAGTAGGCAACCTTGCTTGAAATTGGTGACCGAGGCTGAATTTCTGGGCTAGAATCTGAGATGTGTGAATTCCTTAAAAAAGAGCATCTCTTTGCGCTGGATTCTAGGTCTTCGATGAAGATGTTGTCCCTGGCAAAGTGCAACAGGTGTGCAATAAATCTTTCTAAGACACTTTTTAAAGAACAGTCATCCTTAATAAGGGATGTGTTCACAAGGATTCTCATTAATTTAACTTTGAATTGCTCTTGCACTTAGCAGCAGTGGCTGTTGTCTTCTCTTCACCTGGGGACCTTGCACCAGCCACACAGACCAGGTTCTGGTGTAGCAGTGCACAGCTTCCCGTGAGGAACCCGCCGCTTCCCTCCAGCCAGGACACTGGGCCTCTTCCATTTTGTTTCTCATGGCTGACTCCCTCCTCCTCTTCCCCCTGCACAGACCCTGCTGTGCTAACCCACAAAGACTTCCAGGGGAGATCAAGAGAAAGAAGTAGCAGAAATTTGGGTTTGCAGAGGAGATGGGAGAGGTGGCAAGAAATGCCCTCCCCCTTCCACTTGCTCCCCAGGGCCCTCTGTCCCACTTCTGCCCTCCCCTGCCCAGCCTCCTGGTTTGGAGAAGCAGGTATTTCTCCACCGCGCTGTGCATTCCCGGCCTTGACCTTCAACACAGAGGCCCTCCTCTCCAACGTCCACACCATGATCTCCCTCATCATCTGCATTGAACAAGGGGAGTCCCTACTTTCATTGCCAGAAAGGGAGAGTTTTGTGTTCCCGGCCCCCCGAAGGGGAATCGTGAATGCATTTTCCTATAAAGTTATCGCTTTAATGGTTGCTTCTACAGTGTTACTACTGTTGCTTTGAGGTAGCGCACAAGCTTTTGTGAGCTGTTCTGAGAGCCTAACTATTATGTGTGTAATTCTCACTGTGGGCAAGTGCCCGTTTCCTTTCCACAACCGATGTACAGTCAAACTTTTAGAATTCAACAAATTGGAAAGTTAGAGGATGATCTGTGCTCAAAATTTGAGAACAGGCTTGATAGACACTGTCCTTTCACAAAAATTAGAGATGCTGTTTTTTGATCGAAGGTGGTGATTCCGTTCAACATTCGTGTCTTTGGAGAAAAGCTTGTACATCATGTTAAAGTCTATTGGTGACCCCTCTTCTTTGGAGGAAGATAGCCTATCTTATTCCCACCCACAGGGAGAGGTTCATAGAATTCTTGAAGTGGTTCTGGAACATGAAAACCTAGGGCCAGAGGGTAGAGAGTGGCTTCAAGGGGGGAAAGTTTCAATGCTTATTCAAAGATGTTCCAGTAGGAAGGGTGAGTCAAACTGCTTATCAGAAACGGGGGCATCTCTTTCAAATCGGAGGTCAGGTCATACTGCTGGAGTTGTCTGGGTTGGGTACGGAGTAAAGGCCATCACCAACACACGTGATTCAGTTATCATAATTGCTTAAAACATATTCGTTCTAATAATTCCCGGTGCACGGTATTCTAAGAAGACCCTTCTAGTTCAGTGGCGTTATGTTGGGTGTGTAGCACTGGGTCCTAGCCACCGTGGTTGCACTTGCACACATAGTAGGAAGCCCAGGCAGCAGGTGCTGGGAGTTAGTGGCACACTCGTCTTCTCCCAGAGCATGCTCACCCGCAGCCCTCATAGGACCCGGGTGCTCTTGAGATAGTTCGTAATTCAGACACAGTGGCATCGACTTGCTGACTGCAGGTCACGGTAACAAGAACATACGTGTCACCTTGACGTTCGAAGGCCTTTTGTGGCTTCTGTCCTTGCTTTTCTGTTCCATGAGGCTCCTCTTTGAAGAGACACAGGACAGCCACTTCTTCATGGTGGCCATTTCACCTGGACAGAGAGAGGCAGAACTCTAGTGGGCCTTGTCAACTAACGCCAAAGAAGCCCATGGGCTTATTTGGCCAACACTGTGGACAGCAGCAGGAAGGCAGGTGAAGCAGGGAGAAGGGGGGAGAAGAAAAAGATAGAAGAACTAGAAAATGAGCAGGTGCCTGTGTGGTGGCTTGTACCTGCTCCCAGGTGGGGCAGCACTGTGGGCCCGGAGCAGACTTCTAGTGCCTTCCTACACGCAGGTCTTGTTTTTACTAATATCCAGGTAACAGAAGCTTCTAGATTTTGCTTGTACTCTTGCCCCCAGTCCTCAGATGCTTTGTGTAGCTGTAGACCTCCTTCCCACTCTCTTTCCATCAGTGGTGGTTCTTCGTAAAGACAGTTTGCTCATCTTCTGACCTTGGTAGCATATCGTCTCTTCACATCTTCCCGTGCTTCTGCTTGCTTCCTCCTCTCAGCCCGGGTGCAGATCTCTTGTCCTGCTTCCGCATTCCGAGTCAACTCCCCAGCGCCTGTCTTTCCCCCATCACCCAAGCAGAGGGGTCCTGTGTCTTCCAGTGCTGGGAGCCTCCCATCTGCATCTGGGACACCTTCCCCCTCCAGCCTGCGCTGTGCTCTTGCCCTTTGGCTTTACCTGAAGGAGTTTCTTCTTTTTTGATAACCGCTTGGCTTTCACGGGGCAGGACGCCTGTCTGGAGCGGCAGCGTGGGCAGAGGGCTGGGGGGCAAAACCCAGGACCTGCGTAGCCCCTCGCCCTGAGGAACAATGGTCTTGCCGAAAAGACGGATGTGGGAACATGTGTAGTGCCACCTAATAAGTGATTCCATTTGGTGGGGATCCAGTCCCGTTCGTGTTGAGCTGTTTAAGTGCTTTTGATTCCATCCTGTTGCAGCAAAGCCCTTCGTGAGCGCTTCGAGTGGAGGCTTCCTTCTTTGACAGAGCGTTGTAGATCTTTCCAGTCATCCTGCCCATCTTTCACCCATGTAGTGGCATCCTTCAGACTGTGACATTCTTTTTTTTTTTTTTTTTAATGTTTTATTTATTTCTAGGAGAGAGAGAGAGAGACAGCGTGAGCAGGGGAGGGTCAGAGAGAGAGGGAGTCACAGACTCTGAAACAGGCTCCAGGCTCTGAGCTGGCAGTCAGCACAGAGCCCGACGCGGGGCTCGAACCCACGAACCGCGAGATCATGACCTAAGCGAAAGTCGGACGCTTAACCGACTAAGCCACCCAGGCGCCCCCAGACTGTGACATTCTTAATGTCACTCTGTGTTCCTGTGTGGGAGGCCTTACATAGGGGACTAGCAGACAAATGGCTACAGAACACATGTGCTGTGCCGGGGGCCGGAGTGGGGGGTGGGGGGTCCAGGCAGAAGTGAAGACGTCCCTGCTCTTTCTCTTGAGGGATTTAGGGTCTAGGAGAGGGGACCAGGGAGCAAGCCCACCATGATTCCCCAGGCCCAGTGCTGGGCTGGAGGTTTGCTGGGAGGACTCCTGAGCAGCAGACGGGCTTAGGGTTATGGGTCAGGATCTGTTTTTTCCCCACCTGTTTCTCTTAACGTTTTGAGGACCCTCCCTTCCTACAGGTTGGTTGAGGGAGATTATTTAATGCTTCTCTCTGTGTAAGAGTCACAGCCTGTCTGTCCCTGAAAGAGTGGGAGTCAAGCGGGGATAGAAGAGAGAGGGCCCCACAGCAAGCCAGCCACACGGCTAGCGGATGACGTGGCTTCTCCTGCCGTGTGTACCAGCTGAAAGATGCCATAAGGACCCCTCTTTAAGGGAGGCCCGCCTTTTACCGCTGACGCTCCAGACCTGCTCCGCGGGGCCCGTATTTTCCTGGGGATCGTGAGTCGCTGAGCTGTCTTCACCTCATCCCAACCCCTCGGACATCTCCGCTGCTCCCAGCCTCGCCTCCAGACCGCGATCAATCCGGGACGGAGTCTGTGTCCCTGGGACACCTCCTCAGAATCCTTGGAGGAGGACCCGGACCTTAAGTGAGATGACCCTCCACCCCCTTCCTCAGTCTTGTTCTGCGCTTTGTCCGAGGGCCGCCCCTGCTGCACCGAGTCAGTAAGTCTGGTTTCGTGGGACCGCAGGTTGGTTCCTGCTCCCGGTTGGCCTCTAGATGCTTCGGCTCGGACGCGTGTGTGTCCGAGCTGAGTGCTGGAGTGTAAGTTTCCGGGAGGCCTGCTAATTCTGCGTCGTACTCAGCATTAACGGGCTGGTAATAGTTTTAATTCTCTGCCTCGCGTGTGCCCGGCGGTTCTGCATTGTGCACATGAGTGGGGTCTTGTAAATAACTTAAGGGTCTTTGTGGTCACCATGGGGTTTTGTTTCAGGGAGAAGAGTTGTAGGTAGACCTTTGTGGGACACATTTATTGTCTCTCTAGTATAATTCGGAGCCGTAGTAACTGCGTGTGACTCACTTTGCAAGGGTTGGTGATGTGCTTGCTGGGGGCCGGGTGGTGTGCTCATCACCCGCGAGCCAAACAGCGTGGCCCCCATCCGCGTGGGCTGGACCACTCTTTAGCCTCTCTTGCCTGCCGTGACTGACTTGAACTTCGTCGACAGTGTTCTTTGTTGAGGAGGTTGTACATTCCCTTGGTTCAGGGGCCCTCGTTTGGAGGGCTAACAGTTTCTGAACTGAATATCAGACTTCCTCTTTTTTTTTTTTTTTTAAACATTTTTAAAATTTATTTTTGAGAGACAGAGAGTACGAGCAGGGGAGGGGCAGAGAGAGAGGGAGACACAGAATCCAAAGCAGGCTCCAGGCTCTGAGCTGTCCGCGCAGAGCCCGACACGGGGCTCAAACCTATGAACTGTGAGATCATGACCTGAGCCAAAGCTGGAAACCTAACTGACTGAGCCACCCAGGAGCCCCTGAATTCATCATTCTTAAAGGCACCTTGGCCTTG